AGACAACAGAATGTGGACTGTGAAAAGACAGAAAGGAAAGGAAAGGCTGACAAATGCGCATGTGCGTGGAGCTGAGGTGAAAATGACTGAGAATAAAGAGAAGAATGCTAGAATCAGGGTTGAAGGGCACAATAAAAGCAGAATAAACCAAAAAGATAAGGAAAGAAGTGGGAGAATAAAAGAGGCTGGCAACCAGAAGAACATTTTTCTTCAGCAGAATCTGCCATCAGCTAATGGTAAGAGCTCAAAATAATTCAGTCCTCTATCAATATTACAGATTTGGATATTTAATTGTTAATGGTAATTTCTCCTATTTTACATCTCGATTGCCTTTGCTGCCATCTGGTGTTCACATAAAATTAATTTTCAAAAACACAAATAATCTTTGGCAAAATGAACCTAGATTTTTGTTATTGTATATTATAATGCTTGTCATGCCTAAATTAACTTGTAGCAGTGTTATTTATTTGCTTATGTACAGTTATAGTATATATAATTTTGAATTAAATGTTTTAATTGTATTAATTTTGCTATGTGCCTTTGTCATTTTTGTGTCTCTTTATTTTTATTTCAGTTTTAGTTTTATTCATTTTAGTACTTAAGCTTATTTTATTTCACATAGTTGCCAAAAAAGATTTTGTTTGTGCTTGAGTTTTTCATCTAATATTTATATTGTATTCTATTTCAGCTATATTTTGTTTAACAATTTTTTTTTTTTTATAGTTTTAATTTTAGTTAACTGTAACAACCCTGGCAATTTAAATGATTGATTTTTTTATTTAGACAAGATAGTATAAATTTAACAGACTGCTCATTTATAATAATATTGTAATGATCAGCTTTTATTAATACTACCCTCTTGTAATAATTATTTATTCCCAGGTTGCAGCATGTCAAAAGTAGAGAGACTGATGGAGGATGACTACAGCAAGCCAAGATCTGAGACTGCTGACTCTCTCAATGATTCTCCTTTGCAAAGATGCAGCACAGAAGGCATCGTGCTTAAAAACACAGCAGACAAGTCTTTTGTCTCACATGCACAAGAGCCCACCACACCTCTTGAGAAACTCGGAAACCCACAAGGGTCAATAGCCATTTCAGAAGAGGATGAGGATGTTGATGTTGTGGAGGTCTCTAGTTCTTTGTCCGAGTCCTTCTCTGTGCCGCCAATCACTGCAGATATTGTGCTCAGCACAGAGGACAGTGATGAAGATGACGAGATTGATGTGATAAGTTTAGGATCTAATTAAGTGTGTAGCAATTTCTGTTACTGTTTATTACTGTTTAGCTTCAGAGTTCTGAATAAATGTGTGTTGGTGCTTATTTGAAACACTATTTCAAATGATCAGAGACTTAGAACATGGTACCTTTTCCCTGTGTATAATTCAATACATAGTTCACACAAGGTGACACTTAGCAGTATTTGCTCTTTCGACTTTGGTGGCTTCAGTTTCAGGCATCAGAAATTTTTATAGATTTGAGTTCTGAATGTTAAAGTTTATTTTGTGTCACAATGATTGGGACTGCTATTAATGCATGCTGAGTTTTCTTGTCATTTGCCGTATTTTGTAGCCATGTTCAGAATTAAAAGACATGGATCCAGCCTTGGTTGTTCTTGTGTTCAAATACGGGTTTCCACATGTTCAAAGGGTGGCCGGCAAAACTCAATAATACAAAATAACCATTGGTAACATTTTACAATATCTTGTTTGCTCAAGTTAATGCATAAGCTAACATGCACTAACAAAGAGCAATGTGTTTTACACCATTTATTAATATTTGTTAGTGTGACTTCACGGTGCATTAAGTGATGTTAACATACAGCTTTTGATTTTAAAAATGTATTAGAAAATAAACTAAAAAATACTTAAAAACATTTAATAATCTTAATATTAACAAACTAAACCTTACTGTACAGAACCTAGTCATGTATAGTGAAAGAACTGTTGGTGTAAAAATAATTGTTACTGGTAAATTATATTATCGCCCAGTTATATATTAAAAGTTGGATATATAAGTACATCCTGTATACTCACATAAAGGAATATATGCTATATAGCACATTGCAGCTGCAGGATTGTTTATATTGTTGCTAAATGTGAATATACTATAGCAAATCTGAACTGCTTCATGGCATGTATTGATGGAAAATGTCAACTACAGTGGGTACGGAAAGTATTCAGACCCCCTGTAGAACCATCTCAAGGATGATCAGAAGAAATGGACAGCACCTGAGTTAAATATATGAGTGTCACAGCAAAGGGTCTGAATACTTAGGACCATGTGATATTTCAGTTTTTCTTTTTTAATAAATCTGCAAAAATGTCAACGATTCTGTGTTTTTCTGTCAATGTGGGGTGCTGTGTGTACATTAATGAGGAAAAAAAATTAACTTAAATGATTTTAGCAAATGGCTGCAATATAACAAAGAGTGAAAAATTTAAGGGGGTCTGAATACTTTCCGTACCCACTGTATATTATCGCCCAGCTCTAATCTGTTAAATGCGACTATAAGGCATAAGGATTTAAAATTAATAACGATGGTTTTCTGTAAAGCTGAATCAACAGATTCACCATTTATCCATTATTACTGACTGTCCTATCACAATAACCACACACAAAAAAGCAAAAATTCAAACATAAATGTATAAGACACTAGTCAAACAGAAATATACTAAAATGTATTTGAATTACATTTATTTCGTGCTAAGTATACTACAAATACATTTACATATTTATGTACTTAATAAAAATTGCCCTGCAATTGTACTTTTAGTACTAAACTGGTATATTTAAAGTCTGCTAAATTGGAACAACTAATTTTGTAAATAATGTAATATATTCCTTAAACTATACCCACTATTTGTGGTCAAATACTAGTAATGTGTCCAATTTTAAGACGTAATATTATGTTAATTAACTGGATTATGTTAATTGGGTTGTTAATTATGTGATATATGGTATCACAATTGTTTACAGAACAAGCGGGAACCCAGTGTGCCTGTAACTTTCTCTATTTCTGTTTTATCACGTGATAGAAAGCCTAAGGCCTTCTCAAGCCATACGGCTGACTCATCTAATCTGCAGCCTATCATGCATCAAACTAAGATTGCTGTAAAGACACAAAGCAATGCCATCAAATTAGCATTTTTAAACATTCGCTCACTAAAAAATAATCATTTCTAATCAATGACTTAATAACCACAAACAACCTGGATTTTATGTTTCTAAACGAAACATGGCTAGAAGACATCTGCAGTGCAACAGTCCTCAATGAAACAGCCCCTCCTAACTTTACTTTCATGAGTGTTTGCAGGACTGTTAGGAGAGGTGGAGGTGTAGCTGCTCTATTTAAAGATGTCTATGAATGCAAGCAAGTGTCATTTGGTCAGTACTTGTCTTTTGAATATCTAGGGATTGTGTTGAAAGGTGCTCCACGCATTCTGTTTATCATTATTTACAGGCCTCCAAAATACTCTCCAGCCTTTGTTGAAGAGTTCACAGAAATGCTATGAATGATTTCCTCAGAGTTTGACTGTTTTGCTATTGCAGGGGATTTTAATATTCACATAGATAATGCAGAAATCAAAACTACAAAAGAAATTATAACTATTTTAAACACTTTTGACCTGATTCAGCATGTGCAATCGTGGACATACTCTAGATTTACTCATCAGTAGAGGTCTAAACATTTCATCCGTTGTTATTAAGGTATCTGATCACTTCTGTATTGTTTTGATATATTGATCTCTGCTACCACTGAATCTAGATCTGTCTCTTGTCAGAAAGAGATGCATTAACGAAAACACTAGTGTGCTATTTATGGAGGCTATATCTTTAACACCAAGCATTTCTGCAGACTCTGTTGATCTTCTCCTTGATTCCTTTAACTCAAAAGT